CTCTGGTAGTTAGTAGAGCTAGGGACATGTATAATTGGAGGTCGATTTTAAACGAATCGTGACATTTCTATTGTTATAAGATCGTGTCATTATTAGTAAGAATGAAAAATTAAAAGACAAGAATTTACAAATATGTCATTCTTTTTTAGAACAGATTAAAAAAAATAGCAAAAAGGACAGCCCGATGTACAAATTATCCAACATTCACACAGAATCCAGGGGAAGGGCCGCATCTTAAAGGGTGTATTAGATTAAGAAAATAGTAGCATCATATAAAATGAAACGGAAGAAATATATAGATAGTAAAAAACATACTCCGGCAGGAAGTTTTGCAGCCTGAATCTTGAAGGAGGACCTTTTGGTGATTTTCAAGTTGGGATTAAGGGGGAGAAAGAATAGCTGATTCTGAGAATGAGTTGCAGGGATTGCTGTTGAGAGGAAGGAAGATGAGAGTGCAGGTGAAGTAGTAGCAGCCATTGTTGCAGCAAATGTACGTACAGCATGTCCATTGTGTTCTTGTTTTTCTGTTACCTTATCAACAATTTTGTGGTCTCCAAATTCAGATAAGTGGAGTTACCCTTTGGGTCCCAACCCCCACGTAGGTGTCTCGCTTGGTACCTCATATTCTTTTCTCAAACATTATTCGCTCCCTTCCTTTTGTTTTAGAAACACAATAACTACTTGAAAAATAAAAGAAAAAGGTCCAATTATATGCGACTTTTCCAAATGTATTAGTTTTGAATGAGAAAACATCACATTGTAATTTTGTTTTGTGTTCATTACCCAATTTTTTTTATTACGTAAAAATTATTTAACTTTATGTTCATTACTTTAAAGTCACTTTTCTTTTTATTGTTACACAAAAATTATTTTACTATGCTCTAGTTATCACACTAGTTATTTTGATCAGATTTTGTAAAACTTTCACCTAAAAATTCTATTATGCCTCAGACATTATAAATCCTCCGATTTATGTAGTACCTTCTATATATATAATAAATAATATATTTTACCTAGGTGTTTTTTTTTAAAAAAAATATTATTTTATTTATTATTTTAATAATATATTCGTACATTTAATTTTTCTTAATATTAATTTTCAAGATATATATGTAGCATTATTAAATTTGTCACTAACATTACTATGAAAAAATCTCAAGTTAACCTTCACAAGCATGCCTGATGAAACATTTTTAATAAAAATTATAAAATCAAAGCTCATAGATTTATAGTGCCAAGCCATATTCGTTAATCCAAATAAATAAAATGCACACATTTATCACACTGGCACATCAAATTAATACTTTCAAATAAAGAATATTAATAGATAAAGCTTTTAAAAAACTTAATCTTAAACACAATTATCTTTGATTTTTTTAAAAGTTTAACTGACTATAAAAAACTCATTTGTTAAATAAATCTATTTTTATTATTTCAAATAGATATTAGAAAATAAATAACTTTGTCATTTTTATATTTTAAAATATGTTCATGTTTGAATATGATTAAACAAATTAAGTACCACGGAAAAATTAAATATACGAACATATTGTAAATAAAATAAATAAAACAATATAAAGTTATTTTGGTTACGAATAAATGATATATAATATAGAAGGTGTTACATAAATGAAAAAATTTATAATGTCAAGCAGGGGCATATGTAATGTGATAGTAACAGGTTTAATTGAACACATAACTTTCGATGCGGAATAAAAATTCATATGTAAAAATTCACTAAAATTGTAAAAATAGTAGATATGAACCCATAATTTAAAAATTATAATGAGTTTAATACTAAAAAACTTAAAAGTTGAACCCATAGAGTTCAAATTGTAGATCCGTCTCTGATGTCAAGGACATAATAGACTTTTCAAGTAAAAACGTTATAAAAATTTGCCCACGGTGACTTTTGAGATAACTAGAGCAAAATAAATAATTGTTGCGTAACAAAAGAAAGGAAAAGTGATTTTTGGGTAACGAACACAAAGTTGAATGACTTTTACCTAACAAAAAAAGAAAAAGTAATTTTTGGGTATGAACACAAAGTTGAATGACTTTTACGTAACAAAAAAAAATATAAAATTACTTTTGGATAATGAACGAGTTAAATGACCCCTATAAAATTTACTCCACTTCATTGGCAAATTAAGAAAAAAAAAATAAAGACCAAAATTTCAACGGTTGAATTTAAGAAGACAAGAATGAAACACGTAAACTCTACTCCAAGGGGCCACGTAGCCACTTGGCCCACTTCTACAACTACAATCACTACAAAAGCTCACGTTGCCATTATCCCATGCAACTAATTCTAGCATATCTGCATAAATCTTTAAGTGAGTAATATTTTTGACATGTAAAAAAAGAATCTTTATATCATTTGAATTTATTTTTCAGTTGAGTTTTCGATCTAAGTCATTAACCTTTATGTTCTGATTATAACAAATAATGACCAAAACTGAAGATGACAGATTCGTGCTCTTAATGTCAAATATTGGAGAATGAAGGGTTCAAACGATGAGAAAATGCTTAGTCAGAAATATTAATTTTGGTAGAAAAAGTTAGATGATTAGATATATTCAAATACATCAAATAAAATGCATCTGAAATCAAAATAGAAAAATTATGCCGCTATTTGATTGTTTGGTTTGGCTACAGCAACAACAAATTCAGTGTAATTCCACAAAGTAGCTAGGGTATGAGGGTAAAATGACCTTACCCTTACCTTGTGAAGGTAGAGAACCTGTTTCCGATAAGGTAAAAATGAAAAAGAAGAAACACAATAAATATTAACAACAGCAGGATAATTAAGGTGATAAGGTAACAAGGTGACAAGGTTTAGAGTTTTGCTAAAAGCTTCGCTATTAGCAGAGAAATTTCTCTCATTTATGCGATTCACAATAGCCAGTAGGACAATGATAATCTTGATTCTCAATCTTCCTATACTTGTAGCTAGTAGCTTTTAAAGAGTTATCAATTAGTACAACACATAACAAATTACTACAACATTATTTGTAGCTGACAACCTTAGATGACATCTTGTTGATCCCTCTTACGTTTTTTAACATTTGATATGAAATTGATGTCCCCTTGAGGAATGTTGAAGAGAGAGCAATAGCAATGATGAAGAAGTTGGCAATCACACAACTCATGCTGTTCCATTGTCAATACAGTTACTGGACTTGAAGGGCCATAATAAAAACCTCCATATGTCACCATTTCTTGAAATTCCTCTACCAAGAGTTGTTTATTCATCATTTTTTGACACTTTGTTAGATCATCCTAATGAGAAAAACCAAAATATATTAATGAGAAATCAATGGAATAGCACTCAAGTTCTTATAGAAAGCATGTTTTTTCATGAAAAAAATAAAAAGATTATGTGTGATTAATCTTAATTACCTTTTGATCTTGAGGGAAGAGTCTAGAAAAATTGTTGAAATAGTCATCTATTAATGGAGAGAAATCTTCACAAGCGCAGTTAACAGCAGATTGTGCAATGACACAAGGTC